TCCCTGTCGTCTGCCCCTTCTCTCTCCTCCCTATTTCACGAGAATTTGAAGTGATTAAGGAAACCCTCGAAGAAAAAGCATGAATAAGATGTAAGAGCCACGTCAGTTCCTGACGAAAGGGAGACGCTGAGTTCCTCGTTCCCACAGCTCTGGGTCCCAAATTTCCTTTCAATGTAGAAGCAGCATCTGCTACAGGGCAGCCACCGTGTGGGAGCGGAAGGCGCAGGGCCGTGGGAGCCCCAGCCTCTGTCCTAGCTGTGGCAACAGACACGTGGCTAGGTCAGTGTGACACTGACACAGTGGCCAAGCCAGAAACATATTCTGTATTCAGAAAAGGAAAAAAAAAAAAAACCAGGAAAAGCACAGGAACAAGAATGTAAGGAATTACGTGTATATGTGAAGGTTAAGGTCAGAACATTCTAGTGACGCAGCCTCTGGGGTTCCTAATGGCGAGCAGTGGTTTGTAACCCACATCCTGTGTGTGTTTTCCCTTCCTGCCCCCTTGGGATGAAGGCCGCCTCAGATCTGCCGCATCGCATTCACGGCCCTTCTGTGTGTGACGTGCTCGGTATGCACAAGTCCCACAGGGCCACTGCAGAGCGGCAGGGAAGTAGACCTCACTACGCATGTGAAGCCCAGGTCCCTCCTGGAACCGGCCTCCTCAGTAGCCGATGCACGGACAGCAGCCGGCAGCTCTCCTACTTTGCCTCGTTCTTTCACTCCTTCCACAGATGTCTGGACCTGACATGCACCGGCCTTCGTGGGTGCCTGGCCCTTCCCACCTAGAATTTCTGAGCTAATGGGAGAACCGCGATGTACATAATCGCACTAGGAAATTCATAATTGCCATGGTGGTTTGGAAGCGGAATTCAAAATGTTCTAAGAAACTGTAACTAAGAGGTCTATTTTAAAATGGGGGGTTTGGGAAAAGCCTCACGAGCCAGATGAAATTTAACTTAAAACTTAAAAAATGAATGGGGACCAGCTGGGCGACAGAGGGCAGGTGGGGAGAAGCCTTTAGGGAGAAGAAACGGTGTGCACCAAGGGCCTGAGGCCCAGGGAACCGATGGGCTCCTGGGGACTAGAGAAAGCCAGTGTCTGAAGGCGTGTGGACGGCGGGGTGGACGCTGCGGATTGAGCTGGATGGGCCTTGGGACAGGTTTTGCACTTCTTCTAAGCTCAGTGAGAAGTGGTCTTCGTTCCTCTCTGAAGGGTGACACCCACACGCTTCTGAGGCAGTGCCAAACCAGCTACTGTTGCTGGAGAAAACCGTGTCCGGCTTCTGCCGTATTTCTTGAATCGCTTGTTATACGTGGCCTCATAGTGTTGAGTTCTGAACTGTAAAGAAAAAAAGATTCTTTTGATACTTGATCCCAAGTTCCCCATGCGTCATGGGGACGCAGCAGGGCTGTTTTTCCTGCATCTTCTCTTTTCTGCTCAGCCGTTGAGGACTGCCATTTGGGGTCTTGCCTTTGTTCGCACCCGCGGCTTTTCCGGTCCCTGCCCCTAACGTTTGGGTACTCAGGACCCCTGACGCATAATGTTGGCAGCCATTGGTCAGTAGACTCCCACTTCCCATAATAGACTGAGGGTTTAGGTCTCCTTGGATACGAGTCAAGAAAAGCCACAGATATTCGGGCTTATTCTGTCCTTCTCTGGTCACTCCTGATTTTCAGTGCGATTTTACTCCTAGTTTGCCTGGTATTTTAAGGGTCTGGTTACGCCATCTTTCCCGGAAGTCCCATAATGTCTCCAGTCACTTTCCTTCAAGGATGTTTTCTCCAACAAGATAAAATAATCCGTTTCTTTGTTTGTCCCCCCCCTAGTTTTTTCCAGGATGGACTGAAAGCAGTGGAGAGTCTCAAACCTTCCATCGAAACACTTTCCACAGACCTCCACACGGTGAGCCGCTTCCATCCCTGTCAGAAGGGAACCGTTTCTGTGCGTTAACGTTGGAAGTCAGGTGTTGCCTCCGTGTCACCTCGTCCTGCATGCTGGGTGCCCGGGCCGGCACGTCACATGGAGTATGGCCTTGAGCCCCATCCTGTGTCACCTCGTCCTGTGTGCTGGGTGCCCGGGCTGGCATGTCACGTGGAGTCTGGCGTTGCACCCCATCCTCTGTCGCGGTTGGAGGGAAGGTTTACCCAGTGAGGGAGGACTCCTCCCACATGTGTGGAAACGTCCCTGGAGCCCTGGCAGTCCACTCACTGTGTCTTCCTTTTCTCTGTTTTGCTTTGTTTTGTTTTTCAAGATCAAGCAGGCCCAGGATGAAGAGAGAAGGCAGTTGATTCAACTTCGAGACATTTTGAAGTCAGCGTTGCAGGTCGAACAGAAAGAGGTGAGGGCATTGAATTTTGGAAGATTGCTCCTGCGCCCCAGCGTCTCAGCGTCCGGGGCTCTCAGGGCTGTGAATCGTGTTCCAGGAGCTCCCCGTCCGCTCCGGGCCGTGACAGGCAGCGCTGAGACGTGTAGTTTGTTCTTTAAATGTAGTTTCATAGGCCAGCAGATGAGCAATGGCGACGGTGCTGGACTTCCACATGGTCGACCACGATCGAGACCCAGACCCAGCAGCTTAAAACTCACGCTGGGTGCTTGTGTGCGTGCCCAAGATCCCGAGAGGAGAATGGAGGAGAAGGGATTGTGGCGTGGCCATCCCCCCGGGGGTGAGTTCTCGCTTTCTGTCTCTCCGGCAAGCACACACGCCTATAGCAGAATCTCTCTTTAAAAACAAGTTTTTTGGGGGGAAACCGTCGCTGCAGGAACAGCCCTGATGGCAGTGTGAACTATTTTGCTCCATCAGTTTTGAGATGGGTAGCCCTCGGTGGCTGTCACATAGCCCACATTGTGCCTTGTCCCTTGTGCCATTCCTTCTGCACTTGGGCTTCCGTGTTGCCCTGCCCTGATGCGTGAGGACTCTGTCTCTCTGGGCAAAGGCACATGACAGGAGGCAATCCGGGTCTCTGAGCCCTGAGGTGGAGCTGTCACATGAGGGGTTGGCCTTTCCTGCAGGGCCTGCTGGGCAGAAATCATCAGTTTCCCCTGCGTCATCCCTGTGTACACTGGCTTCTCCGTGGCTCATACCCAGCAGGATTGTTGGTGACTTCCTAGGCTCAGTAAAAGTACACCTGGGAGGCCATGTTAGGGTACGTTGGAGATTTACGCAGCCCTTGTGGTAGAGCAGTGTGTTTAGACACGTATCCAGTAGATTGTAAAGCTCACTGTTGGCAGTTCCGGGTGCTCTGTTTGAGTTCTTGTACTATAACTGAATGTTGTTGTTTTTCTCCCAAATGCATTTGCCTTTTGTGACCGAAGTCTAGGAGAGTAAGTAGACCAGTATTTTCATAAATTGAAAATGTTTGCATGCTTTTTTCATGAAGTTTAAAAACAAATGTTTCTTCTTTGTATATGTTAATGACTAGTAGCATCTTTCATCTTAACTGTTCCATTGTAGTAGATTGTATTAAAGGCTTGTGAGTGTGCGTGCATGAGTGTTAGTGAAAGCAAGTGTCCCACACTTACGGTTGACACGGCTGTGGTTGACGGAGCAGCTCCCTCCCCTCCCCTGCATGTCTGACTTCTACACATCCTCCTCGGTTCCACCCAGAGCCACCCACTGGGGAGCTGCCTCTGCTCACCCCACCCCGTGCGTCTGAGTTCACAGAGCATGCAGTGTTTGAAAGGCTCATTGCAATCCCAGCGTATGCCTTTTGAAATTGTTGGCTGTGTCTTAAACACCCAGATGCCTTTGTCCAGCCAGGCCGAGAGTGGCCTGAGGTTGCCCTCCTGCCTCGGAGCCCTCTGTCCAGCGCTCAGTGAGGAGGCTCTGGGAAAAGTGGCCCAGCAGTCTGAGCTTGGCAGGTGAGGCCAGGTGTAGCTCTAGGGGTTCCCCGCAGAGTGATGACCTCACTCCTGTCGGAAAAAAGATAAAAGGCAAGAAAGAAAAGAAAGATGACCCAGAGGAACTAGCCCCAGAGGAACTAGCGCCTAGCCTCGCTGATTGGAAGAGGCGGAGCAAGCCCTGGGAGCCGGGTGCCCTGCAGGGAAGCCCCTCTCCGGGCACCTGGCTGGGTGAGGAGGAGGACTGACTGAACCTGGGGGCAAAACTCAAGTACAGCTGCCAGGTCCAAGGAGCCCCTGGGCAGAGTGCAGAGGCCAGGCCTGCTTTGGGCGCCGAGTTCGGAGGTGGGAAAACTGGCCGCTGTCTAAGAGCTGCCTGGTACAGCCTGGAGGGAAAGGGTAACCCACCAGCATCACGCAGAGCCTTTTACGTGGTTTGGTTGGCCAGCCCCTCTGCTCCAGCTTGCAGAGCAGGGCCAGGTGAGCCTTCTCAGCTGGCCCCCTGCCTAGCCCACACTCGCCCTCTCCCAGTCCTGCTGCGTTTGCTTCTCCCGCTCTCTGCGGTGCTTTCTGGTGGTGATGTTCATAAAGTGGACAGTCTCTGAACATAGTTGCAACTGAAAAACAATTGGAAATTAAATTTTATGTTTTAACATTACCTTCATCATTGGAGTCTTGCCTGTGTGCCCCCGGGTACAGGAATGGAACACTTGGGCTGGTCGTTGTGTGGGCGCGTTCCCTAGGGTCACTTCTGTTCTGTGACAGAAACCCGAAGGCGTCAGGCCAGCGTTGGTCAGTGTGCAGACGTTCGAACTCCGACTGCATCACCCAGCTCCTCGGGTTCGGCCACACGCCCCAGCGAGGCTGCTGGGTGGTGATGGGAGTCGCTGCTCCTCTCCCTCCGGGGTCCCAGCCATGCACCACTGGAACAAGCAGCCAGTGTGCGTCCCCAGTGGTGGCTCTGGGCTGCTCTTCTTGGCTGCCCGCTGACATCCTTTGTCTGGAGAGTAGGACATCAAGGTCTCAGTGCTCCTCGTACCTCTGGAGTCACCAGACGTTCCTAACCCGCCCTCCACGGAGAGGATCCTGCTGTTTGATGTTTCTGTTACTTTATTGTGAAAATCTTCAAACTTGGGGCCAGCAGGTGGCGTGGTGGTTGGAGGCACTGGATTTCCACATGACCGGCTACAGTTCGAGTCCCAGACCTGGCAACTTGCTTCCTCACTTTCTCTTTCTTTCACTCTGTCCCTCTCTGGTCAAATTGAAATAAACGAATAAATAAAGTTAAATAAAATAATTAAAAAAAAAAAAAAAAAGAAAATGTTCAAACTTATAAAAAAGATAGGGCCAGCTGGCGGCGTGGTGGTGAGAGCAGCCGGGTCAGCTGTGTGGTTCGAGGCCTGGGCCTGGCAGCTTGAAAGATACACTAGGCGCATGTGCGTGCCCAAACCCCAGGAGAACGGGAGAGGGGATTGCGGCGTGACCTTTCTGCGGGCTTGCTTTCTCACTTTCCTTCTGTCTTTCTCTCTCCAGCAAGCGCACGTGCCCTCTAGCAGATTTCTTAAAAAGCTTCAGAAATATGCAGCCAGCGCCTCTGAAGGCACCGTAGTGTTTGATTTTCTTAGAAGGTTCCTTCTACGGCGTGAGAACCCCAGCAGTGGACGTGTGCGCTTTCTCTGTGTCAGCCTGCCTCCTCCCGCCTTCCACATCCCACACACGCCCATGTTGGGGGACCTCTGGGTGGGGTGCTGCCCCTGCTGCAGTTGCAGAGTCCCCGACTGCACCCAAGCGGTGACATGCAGGCTTTCGGCCATTCAATGTTGAGAACCCAGACTTGTGCTTCTTGAGGGGGGATGCAGCTCTAGGTGGTCTCAGGGGTCTAAGGACCCAAACGACAGTGATTTTCCCGTCTGCCTGGCCCCTGTGGAAAAAGTGTCCATTTCTCCCACTTTGGGGTGTGTTATTGGTCCAGTAATGGACTGTGCCTTGGCACGGTATTGAAGATCAGGTGAAGTGGGCTTTTTTTTTTTCCAGCTGTCCTTCAGATTGCAGGGTTTAAGAAGCCAAGGCCAGACATGCATATTCATAAGCTGGGAATTGCAGCGTAACAGTGCTGCCTGGATTGAGCCACAGCTTCAGGGCAACCTCTGTCAACCCCCCAGCTGCTTTCTGCAAAAATTGACAAGCCAATGCCGAAATTCATATGGAAGTGCAAGGGACTCAGGGTGGCCAGAACAGTCTGGAGAAAGAACAGAGTTAGAAGACTGTCACTGCCAGATGTCAAAGCTTAACACCAAAGCTGTGATGAGCAAGACCATGGAATTGGCATAAGGACAGACAGGTTACTTCGTAGGATCGAGAGCACAGAAACAAACCCTGACGTTCATGGCCGATGGGTTTTCAACAGGGTGCCAAGACAATGGGAAGAATGGTCTTCTCAGCAAACGGTATTGGGACGACGGGTAGCCACACAGAATGATGAGGCGGGGCCCCTACCTCACACCATAACCAAAAAATAGAAGACCGCACCGTGAGAGCTAAAACTATGAAACTTTTTTTTTTTGGAGAGGTTTCTGCTATAGGGTGCGTGCGCTCACCAGACAGACAGAGAGACAGAAAGCGAGAAACCACCCCCCAAGGGGGATGGCCGCGCTGCAGTCCCTTCTCCTCTCGGGATCTTGGGCACGCACGCACATGTGCCCGGCGTTAGTTTTAAGCCACCGGGTCCGGGACACAAACCGCGGTCGACTACATGGGAATCCAGCGACATAGCCATTACGGTAACTGCTGGTCCCAAACTATGAAACTCTAGAGAGTGATGCCTGGGTCTGAATCTTTGTGTCCCTGGCGTAGGCAGTAGTTCCTTTCCCCCCTCGGGTTTTGTCTTAGAGCATACATACTCTCCAAAGAGGCACAGTGAGAGGGAAAGTGGGAACCCACACTCCAGGGGGGCAGCCGAGCCACAGTCGCTTTTGCCCCTGTCTCCTTTCCTGCATGCACATGCGCACGTGTGCACACATACACACACACACACACACACACACACACACACACATCTGGCATGATTTTCAAGCTACTGCATCTGGGACTCAAACTGCAGTTATCCATGTGGGCGTCCAGTGTTTTAACCACCACACCACACTGACCCCTAGGCAATAGTTTCTTAGACATGACTTCTAAAGTACAAATGACGGAACAGCAGACCAATTGGACTTTATCAAAATTAAGGATTTTTGTGCTTCAGAACTCTTTTTTCCGAACTGTCAAGAATCCAAGTGGTTCGCCATTGCTTTCAGCTCAGGTCTGCACCCTGATCGCTCCCAGCCCTCTTCCCACCCGGCCACTTTGTCCCAGCCCCAGAATTGTCCCTGCTTCCCTGTGTGATGCTGTGGGGCCACTCCACCCTCATGCCTTCTGTGAGTGCCTCCTTTCCCCTGAACGGGACCCATTTACGGTGCCAGTCTCCGCCCCATTGTCAGAGCCCGCTTCTCCCAGCTCTCTTCCTGTGGGCTGTTCCGTTGGGCCCATCAGTTCTAGAACATCCTGGCCCTCAGTTTGGGTCACTGATTTTCACACATCGGTTCTTCATTGTTGGAGCATGACTCCCTTTCCCAAGCACGGTCCGCGGCTCAGTGGTAAAGGCGGGCTGGCCCTCGGTCCGGTCTCTGCTGGGGCGTTGATAAGATGGGAGCAGGGTCCCAGCCCCCTCTCCGCCTGTGCTTTAAGGAGCTCTGCGCTTTGAGCACATCACTTGATTTCATTGTTTCTGCGTTTTCTATTACAACGTGAAGTGCATTGGGAATTCCCAGTAGACAGACACAGGCGGATCTCAGCCCTCACCTGCTTGACCTCCAGACTCTTTTTTTTTTTGCCATAGGGCGCGTGTGCTCACCAGACAGACAGAGAGACAGAGAGACAGAAAGTGAGAAATCGCCCCCCGGGGGGATGGCCACGCCACAATCCCTTCTCCTCCATTCTCCTCTTGGGTCCCTGGGCACGCACGCACACACGCCCGGCGTGAGTTTTAAGCCACCGGGTCTGGGATGTGAACTACGCTCAACCACATGGGAGTCCAGTGACATAGCCATTACGCTAACTGCTGGTCCCCTGTGAACTCTTTTTTAAAAATTTGCTATAGGGCACGTGCACTCACCAGAGAGAGACACAGAGCAAGAGAGAGAAAGTGAGAAAGCATCCCAGGGGGAATGACCATACTTCTCTAATCTCTTGGGATATTGGGCACACATGCCCAGACTTCTTGTGTACATTTTAAAAGAATTATTTATTTAATTTTATTATTATTATTATTTTAATTTGACCAGAGAGAGAGAGGGAAAATGAGAAAGCAAGCTGCCAGATCTGGAACTCGAACCGCAGTTGGTCGTGTGAGAATCCAGCACCCGAACCACATGCCACCTGCTGGTCCCTCTGATGTGTTTTTCAAGCTGCTGGGTCTGGGACTCGAACCACAGGGTTAGTCGTGTGGGATCTACCATTCCGCCGTCTGAGCCGACCTGTGAGCTCTGTTGTTCCCTCCCCCGTGTCCTGTAGCTGTGCGAGGATTTCCGTGCTGGCCTGGGTAGCCCCTTCCACTCCCAGCTCAGGAGGCTGACGTCCTCGTTAAGCACCAGGCGAGCACAGACGGAGGCTCTGGGGTGCCTGGCTGTTCTTGCCCTAGGAAGCGTTGAGCTGCAGTTGCCCAGCGTGGCGGACCCTAACAAGGCTCAGCTGATCACGTGGGTAGACGCTGCAGTTAAGGCTCTGCTGGCCAGGGGGCGGAGCAGTCAGCTCCGTGCCTTGTCTCCTTACGTGAGGTTGAAGGGACCGTAGTGCGTGTTACGGACCAGGCATCTTCAGTGTGGGCTGCTCAGTCCCTGCTGTCCTCACTGGTATGTTTCCCTGTTGTCCAAGAAGGACTTCATGTAGAGCCTAAGTAACTGTCTTAATAAGAGGCAGAGCATCGTGCACTCGTTTTGCTCAAAAGCCCTGGCCTCGTCCAGGCCCTCACCTCTCCTGCCTTCGCGAGGGCAGCTTTGGGCCCGGGAGCTTCTTGCCATTGTCAGAGATTTCAGGCGCCCCTTGAGATAAAACCTTCTCCCTTTCAAGTGGCTCATTCTTCCAGCCAGTCTGTGAATCTGGGCTTTGCCATTTCCTTCTCCAGCCTGATCAGTGGTATTGATGAGTTCCTGGATTGAATTTAATGTCTTTTTTTTTTTTTTTTTTAATGTGGTAAGAAAATAAATTTCTCTTACTTAAAAATTAAGCATGAGTTTTCTTTTCGTGCTGCTGTTCCAAAACCTGGGACCCAGACAGAATTCAAAAGAAACTCTTGGCCATTTTTCAGGACTCCCAGCTTCGCCAAAGCACGGCTTACAGCTTGCACCAGCCTCAGGGGAACAAGGAGCACGGGACCGAGCGGAGCGGCAGCCTCTACAAGAAGAGCGACGGGTGGGGGGGCGCGGCTGCGGGGCTGCCGGGCTGCCCGGCGCCTGTGGTCCTCCGGGGTCACAGGGTCTAAACTCTTCTCTCCCCATTTACCATAAGGATCCGGAAAGTGTGGCAAAAGAGGAAATGTTCCGTTAAAAACGGCTTTCTGACCATCTCCCACGGGACGGTAAGTACGCCCTTCCACTTCGTGTGTCTGCTGTGGTTCGATGGTGTTGGAGGAGTTAGTGAAGTTGGAGGACCCAGGCTGTTCTGTGTTTCTTACAGGATTAAAGAGGCATTAAAAAAATTTCCCCTGGGGCTGGCAGGTGGTATGGTGGTTAAAGGTGCTGGACTCCCACATGGCCAACCACAGTTGGCGTCCTGGACCTGGTGGCTTACTTTCTCACTCTCTCTCTCTGTCTTGTCAAATTTAAAAAAATAATAATAATATAATAAAGTTAAATAAAAATGATTAAAGAAACAATTTTCCCTGTTAGAAAAGCTTTTTGAGTTCCTTCTCGGTTGGATACCCTTGCACCGTTTGTTTTTTAGCCGGGGGACCCTAATTATCTTTCCCTTCCAGTGGAGTCGGCAGGAATTCCTCAACCAGGTTCCCTTTAGTTAGAAGCCAGTGACTTCCAGAGACCAGAGGCAGCAAACTGCCCCACCCCATCCCAGGTACCTTTGTCTCTAGAAATGAAACATCTCACTTAGGAAATTTTCTACTTTTCACTGGTGGAAAAAATATTTATTAATCAGGACTCTGGGGATCAGAACTCCAAGAGAGGAGATTTCAGTAATTTGAATACAGAAATCTGACACACTGCCCAACCTTTGATTTCAGTAATTTGAATACAGAAATCTGACATACTTATCAACCTTCGGCAGGTCCGAGTGCTGCCATCTTGTTTGTGAACGTCAGGCAAGAGGGGCCTGCAGGTGGCCTGGTGGTTGGGGTGCTGGACTCCCACATGGCCTGCCACAGTTCTACTCCTGGGCCTGGTGAGTCCAGGAACTTTGGTCATAGCCGTTCACACCACTGTGCCCTTCCCTTGGTGGCATTAGGCATGTTGTCCCCTCTCCTGCAGTGAAAGCCACGTGCACTGGTAGGCAGTGTGAAAATGTGTCCAGGCTGAATTGGCTGCTGCCCTGGCGGAGATGAGAATGCCAATGGCAGTT